AAAAGGAACGCATTCCATGGAAAGGCAAAAAGGAAAGAAAGACTGACTACCCATGGAAAGAAAGACCAGAGAGGAGATGGGGAAGGGAACCATTACCAAAAATCTTGTGCTTTGCCTGGCTGGCATGGCTCAGTGGTTGAGCATTGACCTAGGATCCAGTAGATCACGGGTTCGATCCCCAGTCAGGGTACATGCCCAGATTGCAGCGTGCAAGAGGCAGCCAATCAATGACTCTCTCATCATTGATGTTTCTCTCTCTCTCTCCCTCTCCCTTCCTCTCTCTGAAATCAATAAAGACATATTTTTTTAAAAAGTCTTACAACTTTGATAACTTCGATATAGCAGTTGCTGGGGAATGAGGTATAAACTCATGTGAAAGCATGTAAACTAGTTTCTTCCCTTGTCCTCAGCTACTTCTAATTACTGACTTACCTTCAGAGGTTACACAGGAGGCCGCAAATTGAGCCTCCTCAGTGACCTATAGAGCTCTCTGGAATTATAACCTCTTCTTTGTAACTATTAAAGTGTCTTTGCTTTTCCTCTGTTATAGGAACAACATCACAGCCACATCAAGGAAATTCTATAAAGTATGGACTTTTTCCTCCACGATTCCTGCGCCTACATCACCATCTTCCATGGGTCCATTGCCTTGCTCTTCCTTTACCATGTGCATGGCCTGGGTTTCGTTTTTATTCTTTTCTTTATTTTTACATTGAATGTTGTATCCGATGCACCGCACCTTTAAAATGGCACCTTTTGATAAAGGATATACTGTCACTTGCAAACAGGCACAGCTTCTAAGGAGCACACAGCCCGATGGAACCTTCATTAAGTGCCCCATGATTCAAGGCCTTCCGAGGCTCAGGGGGAGAAAGTGCCTAACCATGCACCGGGACTGGAGCCAGGAATGCCCCTCCCCTTCTTTACCTGTCTGCTGATGTTTCAAACTGCTAGCAGCCACCCAATTTTGTCATTCCATTGAATATTTACAACTTACGATGCCAATAGGTTGCAGAAGAGACAACACAATGAGGTTGGTTAATGTGAACTGACTGCATATCCTTTTGACGGCAGAGAGACTGGGGACTGAAGACAGCGAGGAGGGGATCCCACTGAGCTGGGGCAGGGCATGGGGACGGCAGGCTGCAGGCAAGGTGCATTCCCACCATCCGATGAACCTCCTGCGCTGGTCTTGCTGAAATGGAGCACCAGCTGACAGCAACCCACGCGGTATCACATTAGAAAGGACTTATTTCAGCCCTGGCCAGTTTGCTCAGTGGTTAGAGTGTCAGTCCTCGGACTGAAGGATCCCAAGTTCNGCTGCCCTGCGCTGGTCTTGCTGAAATGGAGCACCAGCTGACAGCAACCAACGCGGTATCACATTAGAAAGGACTTATTTCAGCCCTGGCCAGTTTTGCTCAGTGGTTAGAGTGTCAGTCCTCGGACTGAAGGATCCCAAGTTCAATTCTGGCCAAGGGCACATACCTCAGATGCAGGCTCGATCCCCAGCCCTGGTCGGCGCACCAATGGGAGGCAACCAATCGACCTGTCTTTCTCACATCAATGTTTCTATCTCTCTCTCCCCTTTCCACTCTCTCTGAAAAACAATGGAAAAAATATCCTCCGTTGAGGATTTAAAAAAAAAAAAGGGCTTATTTTAAATTGGCTACCCTATCTGCTCAGTTAATACGTCCTTGAAGTCAGGAACAAATGTCATCCAATTCTGAGTAGGCATTAGGCTTGTCTATTATAGGAAGGCCACTTACTAAAAAAAACCTCAAATGTATATAGACACTGAATTATTAGAGAGCAAAAAACAGGTAATACAGTTAATGAGGGTGGCAAAGTTTAAACACACTCCTAATTAACCTGTCATTACTCCCTGGGTGGCCCTGCAAGTGTAAATTATAGACCTCCGGGTAAAGTGACAGATGCCTAAGGATTAAGTCACCAATCAAAAAATGGGCCAAACTCCAAATAGATATCACTTTGGATTCAACATATAGTATTTGGTTTTCACTTTATAAATTACACAAATGGGTTTCATATCTATCTTTCAAGAGTCAGCTCATATGCCACAATCTCTTGGATAACTTCCTGGATCCCCCAAATGGAATTTCTCCCACCTCTTTAGCACTCCCATCCCCCCCTCCTCCTGTCTTGTTTCAGCCTGCACTGTATCCTACTTTTCATCTTAGCTTTCTGTATCCAAGTTTTATAGGCCCTATTTAACAATAAGCCTTGTGAAGGCAAGACTTCCACAGAATCCTGCCTTATCTGTAACTTACATTTTACTTATTTAAAGACCATCATTTTTCTGTAATTAACATTTTATTGTTGTATGTGTAATGGTTGCATTCCTCATTTTCCCACAAGCTCCATGAAGCATGGAGTCATATCTGTTCTATTTACCATTCTAAATATAGCAGAATTCCTAGCACAATATCTAGCATATAGTAGACATTCAGTAAACATATTTTAGTTAATATATTATATGTTCATACTTTTCAAATAACCTAGAAGACACAATTTATATCTAACAGGATTCCAAATAATGGTGAAGTAGAGTAGATTTGAATTGAGTGTACTAAAACTAGAGACACAAGTATACTAAAGCCACTGTATAAAAACACACATTTGGACTAAATCCTGAATGAAACAGAGAAACTCTACAGCAAGCCCCAAAGTCAGAGGATCCAAGCATTTCTATTTTTTTTTTTAGAAATAGTAAGAAACTTTGCATGCTCTGCTTGAAATTCTGCTTAGAGAGTGGGGTTATCAGTTGTGTTATTGTTTTTTAAGAAAACAGGGAAATGATCCATTTATTTATAATCCAAAAATCTAAAACCATATAATCTGGTCACACACAAAAAATGAGATTATAGATTTCGAACTAAACTGTGTCCCTCCTGTTCTGTAGAATGATATTCCATGGAGATCTCTCACTCTCAATGTATTTGCTGAGGGAAAATTTTAACACTGCACTAGATTTCTAGTAAAATACCAAGGCCCTAATGATCTAGGAACTCTAGTAGACTGTTTAAAAATTGAATTTCTCACAATCAAAAATAAACAAATAAATGTACTCATAACAATTTGGGGGGGGGGAGAAGAAGAGAAAATTGAATCTCTGGTTTCTCATCCTGAGTTCTCACAGCAGAACTCATGGGAGTCAACTGGTCTTAGAAAAGCTATGATGAGTAGTGGTGCCTACACGACATGTGGGATAATAAAGGCTTTGGATGTGAGCAAATGTCCTCAAAATAGTGGACACTATGTCAAGAGAGCAAATAATATCACTTATAACAGCAGCTGAGAAACAAAGTCTCTTGGTTGGCCAACTTTTTATTGAGCCAGCAATAGCCATCATTCCAGACTTCTTCTCTAGCTGGGGAACTAAAAATCAATAAGTGTGCAAAAGTGGCACTCAGGTCAGTTTTCACGGGTATAACAGCAAACTCCAACTCTGCTCTTTAATACCTCCTTTCAAACTCCAAAATTCAGTACAAGAATCATCAACCCCAGAAGACCTCTTATAGCTTACTTCCTCAATGCAAATTTAGTTGCCCCTTCCTCAGTGCTCCCAGTAGCGCTTTAATTGTATCAACCTTTTTACGTTATTTCTCATGTTCTAACTGCGTCTGTCTCTTAGACATGAGTTGTTTTCTAGAGGGCAAGCGTCATGTCTTATTTTTTTTATGCCCCAGAAATCCAATATAGACATGGATTTGGCTCACATCAAACCCACCCCACCCGCATCTCAGTTACAGAGAGAAAAAGAATGCCCCTCACATGTGGACATGAGGGCATCAGCAAGAAATTACTGACTGATTACTATGTGCCAGGCACTTCCCAACGTGCTAGGGAAGCACCCACTGAAGCAGGTAAGATCTTACTCTCTAGGGGACAGTAAGAAGATAAACCAATCAACAGAAAGATCATTTTGGATCATAATGAGTGTTATAAAAAAATAAAAATAGGCAATAAGATGAGGAGTGATTGGGAAGAATGAGAAGGTGGCCTGCAGCACTGGATCTTTCAGCTGAGACCTGATTAAAAAGGAGCCAGCCAGGCAAGGACCTGCAAGGGGAGAGTGTCCTAGAAAGAGGCACTAAACCAAAGCAATTTTTGTTATTGGTGGGGGTAGACACTGGGAGGGGAGCAGAGGGAGATGGTTGAGCTGGTTAATTGTTAATTCTCTCTCCTCCATCTGTATCAGAGCAGGGTACCATCTATCCTCCTTCACTCTGCATATTCTTTTCATTACCATTTCCATTTTCTTAATTCTGCTGATTTCCATTAAATTATAAGAACATGAGCCTCTGCCAGCAGCAAACACATCTGGAGCCATCTTCTAACCTCTAGTCATATAAGACACCAAACAAAAAGCCATTGGAAAGTAGAAGTTGAGAGTATTAAGATTTAGCTTTCATCCTTATTAGGTCCATTCAGCTAATGTTTATTTTTATGACAATTACATCTCATTATCAATACTGATCATAGTTAGTAATTAAGTTATAAACTTGCCCATCACTCATTTCTTTCCATATTATCTCATAAGAAGTCCTATTATGGGGTAAGTATCTTTAGCAAAGCTGCCTATTTTACTGTACACTAACATTAAAAAAAAAAAAAAATCAGCAAATGCATCTAAGTAACATTTTCCAAGATAAGCATAAACATTTCAGTGAATAACTACACTACTTGTTTTAGTATTACTGAACTTGACATTTCTTCATAATTATCATTATGTACTTCATTGCAAGTATTTATTCATCAAAAACTGTAATCAATAAAAGAAAGAAGGAGAAAAGAAGCTATTTTCTGCATCATGGCCAGACTGTACAGATATCGTGCCTGGAATTCATCACAAGTGACATTTCTAGTCATGTTTCCAATCACTTGGAACATACAGATTTTTCCTTGCAGTCTGGAAGCTGTGAGCCCTGCAGTCAGCAAAGCAGCCCAGGAAAGAATGTGTCTCATGGAATGCACTCTACCTGATGTCATCTTCTGTTCCAACTGGAGGCATCTAGGTTCTTCTTGCGATTCATCTTCTTCCTGAGTTTCAGCCCCACAAACCAAAAAAATCAGGAGAAAGTCAAAATAATGCATTCATTTACAGGAACACTTTTGCAGATCTACTAATTAATATGAGATCAAGGTCTGAAAAAATTAGACCAAGCCCTTTTAAAAGCTGAGACTTTGGAGAAGCAACAAATGCAACAATAAATGTTGAGTAGAATAACTATGGGGGTGCTGGGTTACAAACTGCAGGGTGCCATACACATGGTTCTGTCTATAGATGCTGCACCTGAGTAGCACAGCCCAGGGATCTCTGTGACTAATACGTTTGGGGGGTTTCTCCATAAGATAGAAATTCTGCCAGTATGGTACGGCACAAGAGAGTTATGTTTTAGTTTTTATAATTTAAAGACCTGATTTTATGTACTTTTGAAAATTCTATCACTGTTCACAATTACTATTTTTTTAATGTTTACAGCAGTTTTATTAGTAATAGCCAAAAACTGAAAACAACCCCAATGTCCTTTAGTGGGTGAATGGTTAAACAAACTATGGTACATCCATACCATGAAATACTACTGAGCAATCAAAAGGAACAAATTATTGATAAATGCAACAATTTGGATAAATTTCAAGGGAATTATGCTGAGTGAAAAAAGTTAATCTCAAACAGTTATATACTATATGATTCTATTTATATAGCATTCTTAAAGTGACAAAATTAGAGAGAACAAATTAGTGGCTGCCAGAGGTTGGGGCTCAGGGGTAAGGAGGGGATGTGGCTTTAAAAGGGTAGCACAAGAGATCTGTTTGATGGAACCATTCTGCATTTTGTGTTCTGCATTTATTACATGAATCTACTCATGTAATAAAATTGCATAGAACTAAATATACCTACATACACAAGAAGAAAGAGTTCAAGTTTTTTGTTTTTTTTAAAAAATATCTTTATTGATTTCAGAGAGAGGAAAGGAGAGGGATAGAGAGATAGAAACATCAATGATGAGAGTCATTGATCGGCTGCAGCCTGCAACCTGGGCATGTGCCCTGACCGGGAATCGAACCCCGGTCGCTTGGATCCTAGGTCGACGCTCAACCGCTGAGCCACTCCCGGCCGGGCGAAAAAGTTCAAGTATTAAGCACAATATTTTAATTCTCTAAAATGAATTTTCTTTAAAGAGTTACCTATAGTTCAAAGCTCATGTCTATGAGCTGTCACATCCATAACCCCTTTAAGAGACCTAAAATTATGAAAGGATACCACCAGAAGCTTCCTAAACATTTCAGTTAAAGGTTAAGATAAAGCTATGGGTGTTTTCACATGGAAATCCAAAGAGGACAATCAGAATGAAACAAGTTCCACATGGTCAAACAAATCCTGGTAAAGGAAAGAGTGGAAGCCCAAGCTGGTGAGCAAGTGGGAAAAGGAAAGAAAACATGGTTCACACAGATCACACGAGGAACCCCAGTGCAAATGCTGGCTCTGGGATTATCTAGGTAACCCCTATTTTTTGTCATAAGTGACTCTAATAATAGCCCTATCATTGCAAAACTAGTCCAAGTCCTATCAAGTTAAAAAGAAGTCCCTTATTCACTTGCTGGGTGTAGGTGGTAACCCCATGTCCTCCCACACAAAGAAAGTTCTGGCCAGAAGCTTCCAACATGCTTTGATGGTGGTGCTGGTAGAGTGCTTTTGGTCAGGGAACTCCCAATGAGTTCTGCTGGCTGAGATACAAGCTGGGAGGGGAGTAGCCCTTATTACTCAATCAACTTCTTCGCCTCAAAGAAGTGATGAAGGTAGAAGACCTGGCAAGTGACTAGTCCAATGAGGCAGAACATTGAAAAGATGATGAAGCACAGGACCTGAGTGTTTGTTGACTCACTGGTAACACACATCTCCTCCTCTTGCTTCTTCATGTAGGCAAAATCATTAGCGATAGGTTCTGAAAGGTCTTCTAGGTGTCATAGCTCCACCTCTAAAGGCCTGAGCTTCTCAACTTTTGTGATCACTTCGTAATATTTTCACCTCCACTCCATGCATCATGTCTAGGATCGCCAGTTGATCAGGTATCCACCCTGTTCCCTTGCTCTTAAAACACACTTGGAACATGTCATAATCTTCAGTGGTGAAGGCAAATTTCCCCTTGGTTGCATTCTCCTTGGAGTACATAATATGGCCAGCAGAATCTGTGATCTTGAGGTGGGTGCGCAGACCACCAGCGCCCCCATACTTGTCGTTGATCTTGTATTCACTAGTCACCAGCAGGTCCTTGTAAATGCACTTGAGGAGTTAATGGGCATATGGAAGGAGTTGGCAAGAACTGAGCTGGGGCCCAGCAGAAATAAAACTCTACCTTGCAAGGGCCACACTGGGCTTGTGGCCAGACAAACCAGACATGGTATTACACAATTATTTTTATCTCTGGGAAGGTGGGTAAACATATTCTCTGAGTTCTGGTATGATATTTTTAAATAACAATTGTCACTGCTATAGCATTAATATGCAAGTAGACCCATCTAGGAGTAAGGAAGGTAAATTAAGAGCAATGTCTACATGGTGTTTTTTAAATTTTGTCTGCAAGATGCCTTTATGCTGATTCCTTCATTTATTTTTTTCCTTCATTGAGTAAATATTTGTTGACTGCCTGTTATGGGGCGATTTCTGTGGGACCCTAATCTTTAGGCAGGACCCCTTCCAACATCCTTTCGATTATATACTGCAGGCAATGGCCTACTCTGCTTCATTTCTAGGCAGGAACATTCTCTGTGCATATTTTGTTCCACCTATAAAGTTAGTCTGATCAAAGATATTCTGGACCATAATAAACTATGTGGGTATAAGTCTCACTAATGATACCTGAAGCTGCTCTGTAACCAGAGTGTAGCAGTGGAGCTCAGACACTGATATTATCCATCAGAGGAACATTCCCCAATTTGTTCTAAGTTTGCAGTTCCTTGGCAGTATCTCATCGCTGGTGATGAGAATTCACCAGTCTCTCAAGGTTAGTTAGTAAGATTTTTTTTTTAAATGTCCTTTTCAATTCATAAAGATTAGTTTCCTTAAATAACCATCAGTATTGACTCATAAGGGAATTGATTTCACCTGTTTGGGAGCAAATATTTTTCTAGAGATCAAAAATCATCTTCAAATGTTCACCATCAGGGACCAGTGCCAAAAATTTGTTCTGCTTTAAAATCCATGAAATACCACTGTCATGGGCAATTTGGGTAAACAAGCTTTCACTTCAATCATCTCAGATTTATATGTAATAACAAATTTTAATAAAAATTGCTTTCAAAATTACATTTCTGAAAAGGATGTGAATTAATACTATACTAAAAGACACAAAAATGATTTTTTAAAAGCCCCATCACACAGCAACTAAATATAGCAAATAATTTCTTGTTTCACAAGGCCCAAGTTGACAGTATATAATAAAAACATGAGGAGCTATTTTATAATACAGCCACAGGGAAAGTCTCTTGAGATGCCAAAATCACCCAAATAAAGTTGTTTCATACATCAAAGGATTCTTCTTTGAGCCAATGAGACTGTTTACTTTTTTATTGCTCTGAATTCCAGAATGGTGAAATAACAGCCCTTTAGCTTTCCTCCTAACATATTTATTACTTCATCTTAAATTGCCCCTCCCCCAATTTTCTCATAAACTAGTAAAAACTGAAAAGCCATGGAATGATTTGCAGATAGCATATTTGGAATACTTTTGGCTGGAGAGCTCTCAGCATTGAATAAGTAAGCATCTGTCTTCGATAGTATAAACTATGTTGTAGTCAGTAAAAAAAGGCTGAGCTCCTTAGATCCTTGTGTTTCTTCTCTTCAGTGCAAGTCTGTGATTTGCTAAATTTGTTCTTACTGGCTTTTTCCCAGCAAAGCTAGAATAAAACGACAACAGTCCAACTGTAGTAGCCATCTGTTGATTTTGCTGCCTGGCATTCACTCTCTCTATCTGGTGTGTCCTGACTTCTTCTTTAAAGTCATCCTTCCCCACTCTTAACGAATTGTGATTCCTATAAAACCAATTCCATGCCCTGAACAGGCCCCTCATCCACCCCCAAGGGTGGCCAGTGACTGAGGGCTAGGCTGGGAAGGCCAGTGCATTTCCCTGTGATTGGTGGAGGATGGTCATGCGACCCAGTTAGGGCTGATGAGAGATATTCTCTAGACTTTTAGGAATAGGAATCCTAGTCTCACCTACTGATCCTGCAACCTGAGATAACTGTGAGGATTGAAGCTGCTGCTGTCACTTGCAGCTGAGACAGAAGTCTCCACAAAGGAAGGCAGAGCCAAGAGATGGACTGATACAGAGTCCCATGCTATCATTTGAGCCCCCAACCCAGCTATGCCTGAAGCAAATTCACCCTGGACTTTTCAGCCTAAGTCAGAGATTACACTCCTTTTTATTTTTTTAAACTACATTGATTTATTTTTTAAATGAAAACCATTTCTATTGCATTTTCTGTCACTTCTAACAGAAAGGGTTCCAGCCCATACTTTAGCTCTGGGAAGCACTGAGTGGGGTGTGTTGATCATTGACTTTTGTATGTCACACACCATCATGTACTTCACAACCTAATTACACGGAATGTAACATGGACGATGTACTAAAGAGTTGCTATTAAAATATGGCAAACAGTTGGGCTTTTCCTCTGTTTCTGAGGACTAATCCCAAGGTATTTTATTGAGAGGCCATGTGATTTGTACGCTTTATGAAATGGTCAGTGAGGTGTGGCCCCAAGAGGGGAGAGAAAAGACATTTAGGAAAAAACAAAGTTCATTCCACTCACAGGTCCTAGAGAAAGCAGCATGGCACCCCTCTCGGGGCCGCATAGGAAAGACACCAGGGTAGTCAGGAGGGAAGGAAACATTTAGACCACAGACTTTATTGGGGTTTCAGAGGGTAAGGCAAGGCAGGGAAAACAAGTCAGATAATTATAGATATAGGGGAGCCCAAGAAGGTAGAAGGTGTCACTCCTGCCTTAACCACTTCAGCACCTCACTCTGGCCAGCACTGAGT